CCCGACCCCAGCTCCAGCCTCAGCCCCAGCACCAGGCCCAGGCCCAGCCCCAGCCCCAGCCCCTGCCCCTGCAGGCTTTCTGGCTGGGACTGTGGCTGGAGGGCAGGTGTGGGGAGGGACTCTAAAGAGAGAGGAAAAGGAAAGAAGGGGAAGGGGGAAGGAATAAAAATAGTGGGATTTGTATGGCTCAGATGGCCTCTTTTGTGTCCCTTTCATGCAGTCTTGGTCCTTAAAGTAATCTCTTTTGTGATGTTATTGGTCACTTAAAAAAATGCTCCTATCTTTTCTTCTCTCTCTGCTAAAATGCAGCCTTACCATCCCTCTCAAGAATGGAAGTCCTCTCCCGTACCAACCTCCGCCTCTTGAATTCAGTAGCTGGTATTCCATAGGGTAGCAAAAGCCCACAATATCCTGACCAAAAAGACTGGGAAGGTGGGAGGGTTCTTAGAGTATCAGCAACACAGTGTCATCTTTCTGAAAAGTAACTTAGCAGTAGTGAGCAAGAGATGCACAGATGCTTAAATACATTGATCTAGTAATTCCTCTTATACAAAGATATGTGCAAAGATTTATGTTCAGCACAGTCTGATGCATAAGAGTGAAAAACTGGGAGTCCATTTGTAGGGGCTTGGCTAGAAAAAGTCAACACGGACTCCTGCGCAGCCATTAAAATCATGTTTGAGTTCAACACATGGGAAAATGTTGATGCCATAATGTTAAGTGAACAAAACAATATACAAAAACTGTGCGTAAGTTATGATCGCAAAATTTTTACAAACAATTTAATAAGCAGAGAAAGACCTGGTAGAATACCTGGTAGAATGCTCCATAATGGTTATCTCTGGGAGATGGAATATTGTGTCATCTAAATTTTTAATTCATTTATTTATTTGTAGTTTCTATGACTGTGCATCTCTCATAATCAGAAAAAGATATAAAGAATATAAAACAAACATAATGAAAACTGAACAATCTTACCATGTATTTGAAGAAATGGGAGTGAAAATCTATTTTTGTTTCTACCTAAATAAATGAGAAACTATGGGTGAAAGAGTGACTTCCCTGCCGAGCCTGTTTCGCAGTTTCTAGAGTTGTTTAGGGCATGCCTATGGAGAAATTCTGGCTGCTGCCTAGTAACATGCCTCACACAACAGACATGGATCTTTGAGAAAACAACTCGGCCCTCCTATGGATGGAGGGCGTCTTGAAGAGAAACAGGATATTTCTAAATTTGCTAAGACCTACTTCTCTCACTTGCTCTCAGATAATACTACTTTTGGGTAGCCCAAATTGTGGTTGCTAGCTAAGCCAACAGTATTACAAGTCATGTTGAAACCCACGTGGTCCCCATGGGCCAGGAGAGTGGGCACGGATGGAGAAGAAATTTACCTCGTGAGTTGGGACAGGCTGCCCAACTTTGAGGGCACTAATGGGACACCACCTAGGGACCAGGTGGTACCCAAGGTGGACCTCTCAGCGTTGGGTCTCCATGGTCCCAGGTGTAGTTTTCATCTAGAGTGTCATTTCTTCCTTTTTGGCCTGGAGAGCCCCTTTCCTTTACACACTCAGGTCACATGTCACCATCCTTGTGTTACCAATTAATGCAAATCATACTTATTTGTTCACTTCTCTGTTCTGCATTTAAATGTTAAGCGCCGCTTAAGCATCAAGGGCAGAGGCCCGGTCTCACTCATCTTCGGAACAACTCTGGAGCTGAGCTCACACCCTGCATAGAATCCGTGCTTAACAAAGGTTTTGTGACATCCCACTTTCACATGCATGTGTCAGCAGCTAAAAAGTTCGTCTGCCCTTTGACCCAGTTACCCCCTTGGTGCGGAATTTATCCAAAGGAAGTAAGTGAATAGGAGAAAGGAAATCACACACGTACGCATTCGGTAAATATTGGAAATGAGTGGAATGTTTATCCACAGAGCAATGGGGAGTAAATTACAGTACATGATCTTGATGGGACAGGATTCATTCTCTCATTGATTAAACAAACACACTGACTGCAAGGAGGGAGCAGAAATACAGCAACAAGGCAGATGCCTTTAATGAGTACACAGCCTACCGGAGGCTCCTAAAATGATCATTACGAACTACGGAGAAACAGGGATGTGCGGCCTCACGTTAGGGGGGAGAAGCAGATTTCGAAGCCGTCTGTGCATTGCGATTGCAATTCTGAACACGTGAGCGCGTGAGCAGGATCCGGATGCGTGAATAACCATGCTGCATGGCTGGATTACAGGTGACATTTTCTTTAGCATCATTACAGTTGTTTTTCAAGCTTTAACGTTTTAGACCATCCCAAATGTTTACTCAAAAAAGAAAGCCGCTCCCATGACCTTGGCTCTCCAGGTTGGCGGTGGCATGAGTGATGGGTGAGGTTATCTCTGGATGGGCACGGGGTTGTCACAAGGCGGTTGGGAGGGAATGTTCAAGGCAGTTTGGAGCGCTGGGTCAGGGCAGGCGATCAATCTGTCCATCCAGGAGTGTCCACTGAGTGCCACTTTAGGAACCAGCCTTCTCCGTGTCTGGGCTACACCATGCAGCAGACCTGCAGGCTCCTCCAGGCTCTGTCAACACCACCACTTAGGCATGGTGCCAGGTGGGGAGCAAGCTGTAGTCTGGGAACCAGGCAAGAGTGTTGGGACCTGCAGCAGTTGGTGGCTGGTTCTTCATACTGGAAATGATGCTACCAATGTGAAAAGTGCCATTATCTCCATTCTGTACACGAGGAAACTGAAGCTCAGTTGGCCCTAGGCTACCCAGTGGTCAAGTGATAGAGAGATGGGATTGGAAACCCTTCTCAGTTTGGGCCAGGGTTCCTTCTATTTCTCCCCTTGGGCCCAGAAGCTAGTGGAGATACATAAAGCCAGATGGAAGAAATCTAGATGGTGGGATGGGCGGAGTCCTTTGAAAAGGGGAGGCAAGAGGGAATCCCTTGGTGGGCCACATGATGGAGGGTCTCAGAGGCCAGGCATTTGAGTTCAGACTTGAGGCACTTGGCAATGAGGAACCTTTGTATGTTTGGGGGACATGTGACAAGGGGTTTATTGAAGGGGAGGCCGATAATGTGTGCTGGCTGGTGTGACTAGAGGGGAGGCTGGGCCAGACACATGGTAAAGTTGGTGGGCAGCTCTTGTTCTGTCTGATCAAAACAGCACCCACCCCTGCAGCTTCTTGGAAATATGTCTCCCTGAACCTCTAGCCATGAGACTGGAAGGGAAACTGCCATCTTATCTATCCCGTGGATACCACCATCTGATCCAAGGATGGGCATCTGATACAAACTTGGCCAATCAGAGCCCTTCCCTTGGAATTTTGACCTGGAGACCAAAGAGGGAGGGGTGGGTCTCAGCCCCTTTGTGATGACAAGGCTGTGCTATGTGAGTCTGGGAGCTCCGTCACCACTCAGAGATTTGAGAGTCAGAGAGAGGAAATTTTGGCTAGATTCAAACCCTGGTTTCTGTGCTCTCTGAGGGCTCAGCCTCCCCCTTATCAGTGCCATGGCATGAACAATACCACCTCGGTTTTAGCTAAGCACTTCTGAGTCAAACTTTTATCGTTTGTAAACAAAAAAATCCTGACTTTTGCAATAAGAGACGGATACCCTTTATTATTTAAATTTTGAGCACAATTCTAAAACCACCTTCGGGTTTTGGGAGGTCATTGGGTCCATCATTTCTTGCATGTAAGAAACAACAAAAAAAATTGTCCTCATTTTTCAGTGTCAGACTCAGGAGCTCCAGGTCTCTGTAGGGACAAGGCTTTAGAGATCTCTTCAGAGATGCACGGACGTATCTCCCTCACTGGTGTACTGAGTAAAATTGCTGCTCAGAACGCTTCCCTTCCGGCTCCTTTGTGATTCCGAAGAGGAGAAGCCAGTGTGGACGGAGCCGCCGCACAGGACAGCCAGGCATTTCCTATACAGATGGTCAAGGTACCTTCTGAACTTCTGTCCAGCAAATGCATAGATGAGGGGATTGAGACAACAGTGGATAAATGCAATTGTCTCGGTCACATTGAGGGCCAATTTCAGATCCCGCTTTGTGTCACAGTTGGGAAAGAAGTTGTAGAGACTGAGTGTCTCTAAGAAAATCATTACGTGGTAGGGTGTCCAGAACAGGAAAAATACAATGACCACCAGGAAGATCAGTTTAATGGCTTTCGCTTTCTTGTTCTTGCAGGAAAACAGTGTCCATATGATTCTGAAGTAACAGTAACTCATAATCAGCAGGGGGAGCAGGAAGCCAAGAATATTTGCTTCCATGTTGCGGAGCACGGGCCAGACGTTCCGCAGGACGTCAGGGTAGTCCCCGAAGCACTGGTTCTCCGTGAGCTTAGTGAACATGAACTGGGGGGCTGCCACCAGGATAGCTGCTGCCCAGACGCTGAGGCTGACAGTGACACCGTGCTGCACGGTCCGGTTGCTCATGGAGTTGGCAGCCAGGACAATGGCCTGGTACCTATCGATGCTGATGATGGTGATGAAGAATATGCCACCGAAAAAGCCAATGAAGAACAAGGCCGTCGTGAGTTTGCACGTAGCATTGTCAAAGCCATGATCCCTTATCTGGTAGTGAATCCAGAAGGGCAAGGTGGCTACAAAGAGCAGGTCGGACAAGGCCAGGTTCAGGAGGTAGATGTCGGCGACACTCTTGGGCTTCCGGCTGTGGATGAGGGCGGACACCACCAGCAGATTGCCCACCAGGCCAAATGCAAAGACAAGGGAGTACACGATTGGCAGGAAGGTAGTCCCAAAGGCCATGATGTCCCCCAGGTGACAGGCTTCCGCGCTCTCATCGTACTGAAAGTCTTCCGGACTTGGTTCGGGGAAGGGGGTAGGCATGCTGAGGCCTGGGGCAGAAAGGAAAACAAGGAACAGCATGAGCTCGCAGAGAGATGTCAGAATTCTGTCTGTCCCCATTGTAGAGACGGGCTGGAAGGAACAAATATTGGTTGGTGCCTAAGTGATACATTCTCCAATGTCACACATGCCGTGTCGTCATATCCCCACGGCTGTCTCTGATGGAGGCTGTAACTGACTCCTGTGACAGGAGAGGAAGCCAGGTCTCTGAGAGTGACTGGCCCAAAGCTCCCTAGCCAGTGGGGCAGCCAGCATTTAAATCTATGCTTTTTGAAGCACAAGACAAACCTTTTTTTTCCTTATATTTTTAAAAGTTTCTCCCACCCCAGCTGGTGTGGCTCAGTTGGTTGGGCATCATCCCAAGCACCGGAAGGTTGTCACTTCGATTGCTGGTAGAGGGCATGTAGGAGGCAGCTGATTGATGTTTCTCTCTCCCTCTTGCTTCCTCTCTCTAAAAATCAATAAAAATACTGTTCAAACAAGTTTCTCCAAAAGTAGCTAGCTTTACCAGTGTGTGGGTGGGGGAGAGAGGACCATGGGCAGAGAGGTGAGAGGGTGGGATGGTGGGAGGTGCAGCCGTAATTCGCACTTCCAGTCCCAACTTCCTACAGCAATTCTTCGCCCCTTTGCCTTACATGCACCTCCTCTGCCCTGTGGGCCCTAATGTCTCCTGCAGGAAGCTGAGACTGCAGAGGGGGGTCCCAGACACTCTCTAGAGCCCTGAGCGGACCCACACCCAGCAGCCCTTGTCTTTATTTTTGGGGCCATTTCTTTCCCTTCCTCTCAGAACCAAGTCCTTCCCTTCCTTAAGAGATAAGACATAGACTCACGTGCTCTACAGTGACTACCTTGTCTCAGTTTGCCCAGGACTTCTCCAGTTTTTTGTTTTTTTTAGGATTTTTCTAGTTTTAGCACTGAAAGCCTCCCCTGTCGGAAATCCCTCACTTCTAAGCAAACCCAGGAGGTAGGTCATTCTGATACTCCTAGGGAGGACGGGGTGTCACCATTATCCCAGCTTTTGGCCTTTGCAGCCATAAAAGTGCTGCTTGATCCACGATGGGGGACTGTGCTCAGCCTGCTGCACTGGGCCTGGGTGGCTAACTAACCTGGTCATTACCAGCCCCACACTTGACTTTGGCCTGGCTTCCCCACTCTTCTTTTTTCCTGTTTCCTCCTGAACAAAAATGGAAAGAGAAGATGCTTCTGCACAGGGCGGGAAGTAACACTTGTCCCATTCCGAGCCCTTTCCTCCCAGCCAGTGCTCACTGCTCATCACTCCAGAGGCTGCAAGAATAAGTCTCTGGGGCCTCGGGCTCTTACTTGTGATACCACAGACAGAAACTCCAACCTCCTGGCTGTCACTGCCTCCCTCCCCACCACAACTAAAAGCAAAGCTCACACTTCTTTAACCAAGGGAGTTTCCACACCTCACTGCTTCCTTTTCATGCTGGTTTCACTGAGATGGTGTCTCTACCAGGGCGAGGGCCCATCCAGCCTCTGCCTGTGTCCCGGCCCATCTCTGCATCTGACCTGGACTCTGCCAGGACGAAGCAGGCCAAGGCTCTGACCCGGGACATCTCAGGCTGGGATGGGGATCTCAGCCCCAGGGAAAGTCTACACTCTTTGCTTTAGGCTGCAGTGCCCTTTTCTCAGAAAGGAACCTCTGGCTGTGACCTTAATCAATAACGTTTAAGTTGAACCATATAAAACGGCTGATATGCAACCATTTTTGAACCACACAAATGTCAGTTTCAAATGGTGCAAGCTGACATAGGGGGATACAGAGGAATTGCTACTGGGTGCTGGTGGCTTGTCGTAGATTCATATCTTCCCAGACATGCAAACAGTGGACTAATCGGCAAACCCTTGTGGTCATAATTAGGGACCCTGGGGCTAGCTATCGTCTCCCTCCCTCCCTCCCCAGTGAAAGGAGCTGGCCTGCTGACCTTGAGAGGGAGGTCAATACAAATCATTTTGCAGCTTTTCGTGTGCCTGTGCTAACTCCTGCAGCCCAGGACCTTCGTGCTTTTGGGTTGGCTTGATTTTGTCAAATCTGCACGAGGTGGGTTTGATTCCCACTCTTGGCACCGTGCCTTACACACAGGGACCACCTACAAATGTCCAGGCAGGTACCCCTTGGTCACTGAGGCAGGAGAGCAGGGAGATGGGCAGGAAGGGTGAGGGCTGCAGACTTGAGCTCTCCTGAGATTGCATCCCATGCCTGCCCTCTCTGGCCCAGCGACCTTGGGTGAACTTGGAACCTCTGGGCCTCACATTCCTCACCTGCAACATTGGGTTCATTCTCATGCCTGCCCACAGAGCTGTTTTGAAGCAAGCACCTGGCACAGTGCATTGCATACAGCAGACACTTAATAAGTGCACTAGGTGAGGAAGTAGAAACACCTTGGACCTTTGGAATCATCCAGGCTGCCTCTGGGCTCACGTTTCACCCCCACCCTAGGTGTTGTGGAAATTTGGTCTGTAAAGGTTGTTCTCTTTTTTTTCCTAAAATTTAAAAAAAAAAAGTTTTATTTTCAGATTTTTTTGGGGTGGGGCCGGACCGAGGAAGAGGGAGTGAAGCCAGCTTTACTGAGCTTTCACTGAGTTTGCCAGCTCGTTGTTAAACACTCTGCGTATCTATTTAATCCTCTGTGATTCTGAAGGGAAAGGCCTATGTTTAATTCACTGCCCTGTTGAATGGCTCCAGGGACATTTGTGATGAGAGGAAGGGGAAGGCTGGGACAAGAGCCTGGAGAAGGTAGAGGTAGTTAGAGATAAACAACTGGCTCCCAGCTCCTCACCTTGCCAGGCACCCTGGCTCAGGGCTGCCACATGCACAGGGATCCTTTATCTAATTGGCACCAAGATGCCAAATAAGCCAGGGGTGGTCCTGGTCGGAAGGGCTCAACATCCACTCAGCAAACACATATGAAGTCGCACAGGCACTGGGCTCAGCATGGCAGGGGGCACATGGGGACATCAGCCAAACACAGCGTCAGCCCTGAGCGTTCAGTTAGACCAAGGGTTCCATGCGGCCAGGGTGTGGGCGGCTGTCGCTTTATCCCCGGCGTGAGCCCAGGGCGTGAGCCGAAGCGGCAGCTGAGCTCTGCGTGCCGCCTGGGGCCGCGGGAATGAGTTTTGCAGGGCCTGCTGGGGGGCGCCCCGCCGCCTCCCTGCCCAGCTCTTCTGCTTCCGCTCATCCACTTCCTTTTCTCAAGCCCACTCTTTTTTTTTTTTAAACTTTTTTTTTGGTTTTGGTTATCATTACCCACCGTTTCCAATCAGCTTCCCTTTTCTAGACTTCCTCCCTTATTGGGTGGCCCAAACCATCTTCTGTCCAAAGTCCTGTTCAGTTGCGTCCGTCTTTCTGTGGTTTCAGTCCCCTCGCTGTTTGCTAGCTCCACGCATCTTCTTTTGGGTGTTTTTCGTTTGTTTTTACCCTCCTTTGTCTCCGTTTATGGCTTTTGAGGCTCTTGAGTGAAGGCTGGGTTTGAGGTGCAGTCTAATGTTAAACAAAAATGGTGAAGTTTATGCCTGGCTGGTGTGGCTCAGCAGTTGAGCATCAACCTGGGATCCAGGAGATCGTGGTTCGATTCCCGGTCAGGAGGTGAACCCAGAGGCATTTCTCTGCGCTCCCTGCACTGCACGAGACTCTTCCTCTCGGAGGGGAAGCACAGCTGGCTCATTGCAGCCCCTTCTCTAGAACTAGAACTGAAAAGCAGCAGAGCTAGCGCCCTGCGAAGAAGGTGACCCGTGGTGCCAGCCTGAACACTCTACCTGGGTTTTCCCTTCTGGACTCAGAACCTGGTATCTGACCCCCTGCGAATCCATGGGCTGGAAAGGGAGGTGGAGGGGGGGTTATTAATCACCTTTCCAGCCACAACTAGGTGGTCCTTGCTGGCAGGCCTGACCCCCAGAATCTAGCTCTCATCAATGCTGGTGAGGAAATCGGGGTCCTTTTCTCTGGAGAGGAAACGGCTGAAGGCTGAGGGGCTGGCTTATGTTCTGCCTTCAAATGTATGGTGATGCTTTTCAGAGCAGTGGACTTCAGAGGGGCCCACACACCCCTTGGATGCCTGAGAGACCCTGGGCCTCTCCCAGCTCTGCCTCAATTTCTTGATGTGCGAAAGGAAAGCCTCGGAGCAGACTGTCTCGAAGGGCAGGGCCATGCTCAACTCTCAACAAGATCCCAACAGGAGGAAATATCTTTAAAGAGCAACATGAGTCCTGGGTCAGTGGAAGTGTGACTGGGTGACAACAGAGTGGCTGCCCGGCAGCCTGCCCAGGGGACACGAAGCTTCTGGGCTTGTGGACTGCCAGCCAGTGTTCGGATGGGGCTGTGTTTATTTTCTATTTATTTATTTATTTATTTATTTATTTATTTATTTATTTATTTATTTATCCCTACCCGAGGATATTTTTCCTATTGCTTTTCAGAGAGAGTGGGACCAGGGCCAGGGATCGAGCCTGCAACCGAGGCACCTGCCCTTGGCCGGAATCAAACCTGGGACCCTTCAGTCCGAGGGCCGACGCTCTAACCACTGAGCCAAAGCAGCCAGGGCCCGATGGGGTTGTGTTCAGAGGCAGGAAGCTAGATCAGTTGATTTCATGTCCTGACAAGTCTTGAACTTCACTTTGTTCTTGATAGGACGGTTCTCTGCCTGGCCCCCAGCCCACACCCCCAGCTGTTTCGGCCCCTGACTTTTACCAGGTGGAGTCAGAAGAGGCCGGCTTATCCCCAGAGCATTCTGGAAAGTCTGGTTTCGTTTGAGCGTAGGGCTCCAGTAAGGACTCAGAGAGAGCATAAACCAAGAAGGCAGAAAAGGGGTAGGCAGAGTAGTCTCAAATTCCATGCTAAGGAACTATAAGGAGAAATTATAAATGACTTTGAAAAGGCCAAAAAAAAATTACTGGTGTCTTACCAAGCACCCCCTCTGGGACCACCTCCCCGTTTCATTGTCTGAGCTAATTCACTTCTCTAA